GGGCTCAATCTCTGTCATCAGTACCAGACGGATCCTACGAATTTCGCGTTCACCTCTCATCCATTCTGCAATTACAACCTGCCCGTAATCCTCTAAGTTAGACACCCAGTCTTCCGTTTATTCCAGCCGAATGACCGGCATTTTCAGTGGGGTACACTCTGATAGCGGCATCGCGAGCCTTTCGACATGCAGACTACGGGTCGATTCGTTCAGCCACTCCATCAATTCCGCATCGAGTCGTATATCTTGGGTAAAGCAGACCATAGAATATTCTGACGCTGGCTTGTGACGCCTCAGAATGCCCATCAAATCCACGACATCAAAGTTCAGCTGCAACTCCTTGGCACGAACATCAACTTCAGCAGGTAGAGCATCCTCAAGTTCCAAATTGGTGACGGTGGAATTGTGGAAAAGAAGCTTGTAAGTTTCGGGCCCTGGACACCGATGATTGAAGTGAAAAGTGTGTGTGCCATCATCGTCTGTGTCGTCATTATCGTCGTCATCATAGATTTTCGAAAAGTAGCGGCATCCCGCACTATTGTAGATTTCGACATGCCAATACTTGTCCCGACACTCCTTTGCCATCTCCATTGTCGCTTTGCTTGCAATTGCCGTCTTCAAAAAGCTATCAATATCTATATGACGCATTATGTTGTGCTGAACGACGATCGGAAGCGCGTGGAGGTCCATGGAGATCTGAAATTTGCATGAGGTTAGCTCTGCAGGGCGTGTTAAAGACTAAAAACTGGAAAAGAGAATCACGAATTGAGAGAAAGCGAGAGAGTGAGAGAGAGTGAGTGAGAGAGGGAGGGAGAGAGAGGGCGAGGGAGAGATACAACTACAATTGGATAGAGGTGAAAATTCGCATTAAATAGAGAATGGGCTCGCAAATTGGCAAAAGCGTCAAGTATGTTGTAGCAGTGCAAAAAGTGCGGGATTACTTTTGGACTGTTTAGAGGGCGCGCCAAGACCTTTCGCATTGGTGCTCCAATTTATCTGCCTGCCCCAAGGGAATTTTCAAGCATCTATGCGGCATTTTCGGGACACCTTGTGTAGTTGTTTTGGTGACTGTGATGAACTCAAGATGATCGAACCAAATGTTGCTTTGAAATATCGAAAAACAATGCGTTGGTTGTTTAGACGGATGATCGCGTGAATTTTTGCTGACTGAACGGTTGGGCATAAGACATAAAAAAATGCAATCATTTGGCAACACAATAAAACGATGAAATTCGAAAGTTTGTGTGGTCTGCCATTCATTTCGCTATACAGGATGTCCCAAACCCCCGACCTAGCGGCCCGCACTCGTATCCGATTTTTACGATTTAGGTATCTATCGAAAGCTCTCGAAAAGGGGAAAAACCAAGGAGGATTCATGTTCTTTATTAGGTATTTTTATTCGCCAATTTTACGTCCAAAAACCATGAAAACGCGTGATTTATGCAATATCTGCATGCTAATTGCGAAATTCCTGTTGAAAAATTCCTGGGTTTTTTAGAAAAACCTGAAATATCGATGGAGACAGTATAAGATCATCGATCATCAACGCCTACTTATAAAGGAATAGAATTCCCGCCTTCCGTAATTTTTGACGTTGTCTCGCCGTGTGTGGGTGGTAGCCACTTTCGAACCCCTATTTCAGAGCTTTCTCGTATATAAAATTTTTCGCGAAACCCCGGGTGCGGCGCCCGCGAAGCGGCGTTTCGACGTTAGCATTTCATAAATTTCCATCGTCTTCGTGCTCTATCCCGAAAAACCAACTTAGTTAGATGCGAAATCCATGTATTTTGCTGTTCCTTTCGGTGGCGATGGGTGTGCTAGAGGAGAAGCTCCCCGACAAATTTTTCGGCCGATTCGAGGTGGACAAAGCAATGGATATCAACATGGACGAATACCTGAAAGCCAAGGGTTTGCCTAAACTAGTCAAATACACCATATTATTCTAGGCCTAAGCTGGGTGCTGCGACAAATGGTTTTGACGTGTGATTCGACCATCGTTTTTGCTGACCACGGCCTACCGAAGAACTATTTCTACTATGAGATATCAACGTGCAAATTTGTGATATTTTTGGCTTGAGCTATTTAATTCATGTCGATAGGTCACCCGCTATCGTGAAGCACACATTGGGTGGTATGGTGCTGATGAATTGCACATGCAATTAGTAAATTTTTGGCGGTTTTTGGGCTTGAGTGCAGTACCATACCCAGGCGACCCCACCTACCGTATCTTGGCTCAACGTTATCATAAAAGGTTGTAAAGTATACCAAAAAACTCGTCAGAGTAAGGCGAACATTTTGGTATACCCCACGCCCCGGTACGGTAATGGAGAGCTGACATATAAAAGTTGAAAGACGAGCTTGGGGGCGTTCTGCCCTCTTGGCGATTTTTTGTGTGTGAACGTACCGTACTTCCGAGGAATTACATTCTCATTATCAGGGCTACTTCGAAATGAATGGCGATCGTTTGCTCGTCAAAACCTATCCGTACCAGCTGCAAGAGACCGAGACCGAGGTCTATGAGTACTTCATCGAGAGCGACTTGCTTGTTGTTGTAGGTTTTCAAAAGGTTAACGATAACCGACCCGTTTATACAGATTTAAACCTCTAACCATTTTCTTTGCAGAAAATGCAAAACAGCTCGTCGGAGGCCCGACGATACTACAAACGCCAAAAACTCCCTAAACATCCTGGCTGAGATCGAGAAGCGCATTTGTTAATAAATTTACGCTTTAGATATACAGACCGTATTTTTTTAATGAAACAAGTCGTAGTGGGTGCCCTCCTTCGAGTCGTGCCGTCAAAAAGACCATCTACCAGATGTAGAATTTCACGGGGAATCCAAATATTATCATATCATTGCTCTATCATCATCTCATTTTGAACATTTAGTCACTGTTTTCCCGTGCAACCCCTCCACTCGACGCGCGAAAATTTTGTATTTTTTACGTTGTCGTGCAAACACACCCACTTTTGGGGTTGCGCTAGAATTGAAGTGGGTGGGGGAAAAAGTGGAGTCCGCTGCCCAAGGTCAGAAAAAAGGGGCTTAAAAAGGGAATTTCCGGTAGCGCGGGGATTGGCAACGGTATTTGAAGGGAGAGAGAAAGAGAGAGAGAAAGAGAGAGAGAAAGAGAGAGAGAGAGAGAGAGAGCGACGGAGAGAGAGCAACCCGGGTACATAATTGGGACCAATTCAACTGGAAACTATTCTCTTCCTCCTCCTCCTCTCCTTTTCCTGTGAATTCCATTCCATTCCCCCGTACGACTCAAAATTGCCACTCGAAACTATGTCCCGCGGCTGTACCGTATGCCAGCATAGTTGAATTTTGCATGGTTATGTCCGATTTTTTGCCCAAAAGTTATATTCCAAAATTTAGCAAAATTTCCGTTATTTTGATCTCTCAAACTAGCAATCTGGTAGGCCCAATGTCAAAAAATGCATGCTGTCATGGTTTTCTCCATGGAATTAGGATTTTTGTGAGACAGTTACGTATAACTGGCCAAAACCATTTGGGATGTCGGTAAATTTGAATTAATTACTTTTAGACTTTGATCTGCTCAAAGATCAAGACCAAATCCATGCTTTTCTAGCCTTTTATCCCCTTTTTTCTTTTCCAAATTTATCTTCCGGCATGGATTTATCATCTGAAAAATCTGCTGGTTTCACAGTTTCACAAAGCCGCGGATTCACAGGAAAAATAAATAGGTATTTCGACGAAGAAAATCGTGTAAAAATTTTAAAGCTGTATTGTCAATTTTATTCCAAAAAAAAATTTATAAAAATTCTAAAAACTGTATTGTCAATTTAATTCCGAATCTTCCTTTTCTGCCAAGCAAGGTATCCATAAAAACTTCCACTTCATCAAACCCGCTAGTTTTCGACGAAACCCCGTTCATTTCGCCGCCACCTAACCCCCCTAAAAATCGTGCGATTTTGTTTTTTTTTGCAGTGTTAGGCGGTAGTCGTTTTATTGTGTGCCCCCAACCCTAAATTGTTGTGCAGTCAGCAAAAAATGCCTCCCTCCTCTTTGCTGATACCTACTTTTTGGTCTTTATTTCTGTGTGCTCTGTCGTACTTGCCCACTCTCTCACCGTTGTTTACAGGTCGCACTTGCTCGCATAAATAGCCGACGAGGAACACCGGGAAATCTGCAGATATGGCACCCAAACTTCTGTGGTCAGCCGGTTTTCACATTTTTTATTGAATTTTTCATACTTTTAAAACGAATTTTTTAAATTAAAATTGTTGAAAATGTTTATTTTTACAGAAATTTGCAATTTTTTTTAGTTATAAAAAGCGCGATGGATAAGGTAGGCTAGCAGGGATTCTCTAGGGAAATCGCAAAACTTATTTTAAAGGGGTGTCACAGTTTGGGGGCCGTCAACTAGCAATCACTTTTAGGGAACCCGAAAAATGAGAATTTTTCGATTCTGAAATTTTTTAAGCGACGGTGACAGCCAGGGCAAGCTAGCAGAGATTCTTTGCGGAACTGGGCTCAGAAAGCTAATTTTCCGACTTTTAGATGCAATGTGCCAGGTAGGGCGGGCTAGCAGAGATTCTTGCGGAAATCGGGTCTAGAAAACTAATTTTCAGGGTTTTAAAGGGGCGTGTGATAACTAGGGTAGCAAGCAAAAATTTTGGCAAAAATCCGGGCCAGAAAGCAATTTTCAGAGTTTGTAATGTGAAGGGTAGGGCAAGCTAGCAGAATTCTTGAGGAGATGGCTCAATTTCTAAAAATCCCTAATTTTTGGCGCGCAATAAACAAAACAAAACACGTCCAAATTGGCTTCCCGGGCCACAAACTACAGACTATAGAGCAGAAAAACTAGCACCCATCACTTAGCAATGCCCCTAGAAACGGCGAATTGTTGTTAGTTTTCCGCCGTTTCTTTGCTTTTTGAGTCCCCCAAAAATTGCCTTGACTACGATAGGCAGAAAGCAGAAAAAGGGCACAAAATAGGGAGTGGAGGGTAGATAAGGGCATCGCTTCGGGACCGGGGCCAATGTTTTGCTGTGGGTACTGTACTCCAGAAGAAGAAGATAGCCAAGACGCAACCTCATCTAAAAAGAACAATTCCAGTCTCGGGAAGAAGATGCCGATGAAACTGTACTATTTTGATGGCCGCGGAACTGGGGAGGCCATTCGACAGGTACGGTTTGTGAGGTTTTTTGATTTTTAAAGGGTGTGTGACACCTAGCAAATTCAAGCAAGTTAGCCGTGTTTTTTTTTGGGAAATTCACATTTTCTATGGCTGGGGCAAGCTAGTAGTGATTTTTGAAGAAATTCACTTTTTCTAACGTTTTAAAGGGGGCGTAACAGCTAAAAAAGCGCAGACTAGGAAGTTTTTTTTCGGAAAATCTATCGGAACGCGTTTTAAAATGACAGTGCAAGCGCCAGAAAAACTAGCAGAGATTTCCTAAGAAATTTCTGCTTTTCCGGTTTTAAAAGGGGTGTGACACCTAGCCAATGGGCAAACTGGCAGAGATTATTTGCGAAGTCCAAATTTGACTCAATTCCTTCATTTTTTAGGTGTTCAAACTGGCAGGCGAAGACTTTGAAGACGTTCGCTTCTCGATGGACGAGTGGCCCAAGCATAAAGCCGGTAATTCCGGCTGACACAGTCCCTTTAAACCTCTTTCAGACATGCCATTCGGGCAGATTCCGGTGTTGGAAGTGGATGGAATGATGATCCCTCAATCTGCAGCCATTGGGCGATATGTGGCCAAAAAATTCGGTGGGTCTAACTGTCCCAAATGGTCGCTGCTAGCTTGCCCTAACTCCAAAAAAAATCCCAAATGATCTCTGCAGTTTTTGGAGCTTTGTAAAGATTTGTGGTAGTTCAAAAATCTATGGCTTACGATTCCTACCAGATCTTTGCTAGTTTGCCGTTCCTGAAGGATCTCTGCCGGCTTGCCATTCCTAAATAATTTCTGCTAGGTTACCTTTCCTAAAGGATCTCTGCTAGCCTGCCTTGCCACAAAATTCTCTTCTTACATGCCATTCTTAAAGAATTTCTGCTAGCCTTTTATTCCTAATTCTGCTCTTTGCCATTCCTAAAAGATCTCGGCTAGCCTGCTATTCCGCAAAGATCCATGCTAATTGTCAATTCCTCAAAGGTATATGCTAGCTGACATTCCGGTGTGAAAAGCTCGAATTTTTAAAGGGACAGTAACAGTCGATTTCATGCAGATTTTGAACTTGCAGGTCTCGCCGGAAAGACGCCAACTGACCAGGCTTGGGTTGACGCATGCGTCGACCAATTTAAGGACCACTACACCGAGATCAACAAATGGTACTACACGGCCCTTGGATTCGCGAATCACGGTGACAAGGTATCGGATTTTTATGCTTTTCGGTACTGTAACAAATTCTAATGATTTTTTTAAATTTTAGGAAAGCCTCTACAAATCGGTGTACGAGCCGGCTCGCGACAAGTTCTATGATTTCTTGCAAAAACGCCTCAAGAAGAATGGCAGCGGATTTTTGGTGAGGAAATAATTCGGAAATTTATGTATTTCTGATTTATTGAAATTTGCTGAATCTTTAGATTCTGTCTGTCCTAAAATACAAAATATAAATTTTGTAGTTTTGCATAAACATAAATTTAATTTGGCATATCTATTTTTCATTTTGTAAAACTAATTTCCCCGTTGAACTATGGTAATTCAAATATTTTTAAGCACTGCTAATTGCTATAAGCTTTAAAATGGCAGCGAAGCTTTTTATTTGCAATTTAAATTTATCAAAAATTGCTCCAATTTAAGTTAAATTTTTAAATGTTGTGAATTTACGAAACTATTTATACTTGAAAACGCAACTTTCAAATTATTTACAATCTTAATTTAGGTTGAAAACTCGGCGACGTGGGCTGATCTTCTGATTGCCGATCATATGCACACCATTCTGCAGCTGAAACCAGATACTCTCCAGAGATTCCCGGAGGTAAGGAACCAAACAAAAAGCCTGTCTTTGGCTTTTTGAAACTTATAATCGTATTAATCTTCATTAAAGGCTAGATTTTGCCATTTTCCAGATGCTGGCCTTCAAGAAACGCGTCGAAGAGCTACCCCAAATCAAGAAATGGATCGCCACTCGCCCAAAGACTCCTTTCTAAACGCTCTACAAAATTTTCTTAAATCACTTTTTACCTCTTTTTTAATTTGTTCACTCGAAAGACCCTTAAATTCAAATATTTTTTTTTTGTAAAAGCTGAATAAACCCAATTTTTCCGCATTGTTTTTTGTCCAATTTGCATCCGGGATGACAAGCTGTCATACCACGTGGAAGATGTTATGCAACAATGGATCTAGGGTTGACACAATATTTGGATAGTACTGCATAGCGCGAGGGCAAGGATTAGCACCCCACGGCATCCACAAAAAAGCTGCTACTCGCTCTACTATTGCCGCCTATTGACAATGCCCCCGGGCAACAGCGTTGTAAAAGCTAGAAAATGCAGTTAAAACCTCAAAAAATGGTATTTTTGGCCTATCTACGAAACCAGGGCTTGGAAAGTTCAAATTCTTAAAATTTAAATTTTTTAATTTTAAATTTAAATTTTTTTAAACTTAAATTCACTCATAAAACATTTCAAGATCCTTCAAAAATTATGTTTCCAGCCCCGCTGGCCGTCCGTTCAAAGGAGTAACCGAAAATTAAGCCTTTTACGAGTGTCTTCTGTTGCTGGTGATGCTGGAGGGCGGTGTCTTTATGGTGTGTAGCGGAAGGCAAGAGGCCAATACCCGGAGGCCATTTTGTCGTCTCATGCATATAAATAACACCGCCAGAAACGCGGCCAACCCCCAGAAAGGCCATCCATTTGTTGCCGCAACCCGCTTTTTCGCAAAATGCCGTTAGCTCATGGTAGCCTTTGGACCTCGCAGTTTTTAGGCTACAAAATCCAAAACCCGCATTTTCGCCGGTTATTTGTGCAAATTTTGAACAACATAAGTTAAATATGTTAAATAAAAATTCTAGCAGTTCAATTTTCGCCTCTCTGTTATCCTTAAGGTTTTGAAATCTCGATTTTCTGGGAGCACCTTCGGGAGCGTTTTATGTTGCAGCAAATTCTCTGAAAATTCGGTGTCCGTAGGAATGTAGCGTACTCTTGATCAAATTTTGAATTTTTGAGAGGTTAGAGGACCTTCCCTTTCAAAATTGTCACTTTTTGAGAAAAATCTCCGATCCTTGCCCGGCTCAAGTTTTCAAGACAATTCCCAAAATTCTGCGCCGCATCTTCCGGGTCAAGGCATTTGAATGAAACTTATCGGGAAGGGGAGACACATGTTTTCTTTCTTCAGATCGAGTCAGTGGAGTAGTGTAGAGGACAAGGCCATATAATTCTTCTTTCTAAAGAAAGGGGGAAGGGACATAGATTGTATCTCCCCCTCCCCAACCTGCTACCCCCTAAAATGTGTCAAATTGACACCCGGGCGGCGTCTTTCCACACTCGCGTTTGAACTTCACACCGACGCGCACCTTTTTGAGATAAAATCGGTTTGTTTTTGAGGGATCTTTTTATTTCTATCGATTTTTCTACGCTATCACATGCCTTTTTGTGCAAAGAATCCATTTTCCATTTTTTCGGATTTCCAAAAACGTATTTGGGGCAAAGCCTCTATACAACAGTATTCGTTTTCCGCAAAACACTCAGATTTTAAAATTGCAAAAATAACGTTTTGTAGGCAAAGCATTTTTTTGCTAGAACACAGAAATGTTGACCGTTTTGGGTTTAATTTGTTTATTGTGATACAGTATGCATTTTTAGCACATTTTTGCAGGCTAAATTTAATTACGTATTCGTAAAAGAATGTAATTTTGCCGAATTACAGTAGCCTGGAAAAGCCAAATGCCGCAAATAGCAGCTCGTCCAAAATGAGGTGCCACTTCCCGGTCTCCTTCTTTTGCCAAAGCACAAAGAATGACCCCTCACAGAGCCGCTCCCTAATGATCTCTGCCAGTTTGCCCCGTCCCATTCGTTCTTTTGTCCCCCAATCAGAGGTCCCAGTTGGACATCCCATTCCTCCCCTTCCCTTCCCAAACAATCGCATCCAAATCGACGCCAGATTCGGCAAATCCGGCGGCAAAAAGGCGTTTGACGCCATGCCAGAGTCCGATCTGCCAGTCGGTTTAGCTTTTCAAGAGCTATCTGGATTTTTTTGCGCGGCTTTTATAGGTTTTCGGGCAAATTACTTTTAATTGCCGGCCAGTTTATTGTTTCCAAACATTAATTTGAGCGAAGTCACCGATTTTCTCCAAACCCGCTGGCAAAGGGGCTTTGCCACCATGCCAGACTCCGATCTGCCACCCAGTAGCTTCCGGATACGTTTTTCGAGTTCTGTACTTCGTAGCACACGCATTTTTCGCAGCAGTGCTTCAACTACTTGCCAGCTTAGCGCTTAGAATTATTTTTTTATCTAATGGATCCGCGAGTTATCAAAGAGCCGTGACCACAAACTCGATTGGGCCATAGCCGGGCCCTTTGATAGGGGGCCATGTCCTGAGGATATGCGATGATGACGAGTGATGAAAAGAGAAAGGAAGTGTGAATATTCGTTGTCTTTTCTAGCCTTCGCCGATGAGATCTTATCATCACCCTCTCCTACACTTTCTTCCCGTTCCTCACAGCCACAGATCATCACCATGATTTCCCCCTTTTCGGCGATTGAGATTTTATAGAGCTGCTTTTCCACCGGGAATTCTCGGGCCTGTCGATGGCGAAATTTGAATTTGGATCAAAGTCAATTTGCAGATGTAGCAAAATCATTTCTACCAACCTTTGGGAACGAAGGAAATGCTCAATCGCTTATCTGCGCTGGAGTCGGGCAAAATCTGCAAATTTCAATCCAAATTAGCGTATTCAGTAAAATATTCGATTTCCGTTTATTGCAATCAAAATATGAAAAACAGGCCAAGTGTCGAAAATGTTGAAAAATGTATTTTTTAAAAAGCCAACCTTCGGAAGGTATTACGTATTCATATTATGAGGTATTCCAACCCAAAAGCCCTATTGCGACACTTAAAATTCTGATTTCTGGTTCGCTGCCACTTATCTGACTGCCACTTCGCCCAAAAATTCTTTGACTTTCCGGTATTAGGGCTAACAAGGAGACCTTTTTAGTGTCCACGGAGTTTCGAAATGGGATCATGCCTATTTTGTGCAGAATTTTACGCTGATTAAAACCTCGTTTTCAAAAACTGCGAAACGACTAAAATGAGAAAGTTACGACGCTTTAAAGAGCGAAAAACGCCAAAAGTTGCCCGTTTTGGGGCATTTTTCACACTTTAAATCTTCATAACTTTTGAAATATGGTCGTTTCGCAATTTCTGAAAAATACGTTTTGATCAGCAAAAAATTATGCATAAAATAGGCTTGGTCCCATTTCGAAACTCTGTGGACACCAAAAAACGTCTCCTTAAGATTCCAATCGCCGACCTTTTCCGAATGTTCAAAACGCTTGTCGACCACTTGTTTCCTATCTAATCACGTCCATTAATGCTTCAACCTAATATCAAAGGATTTCCGCCCATTTCTCGGACATTCCGACGACCACTCCTAAAATATCCTGACCCTAAAATATCCTGAGGGTATGGTTTTGTTATCACTCGCATATCTGCCGGAATTGATGGTGGTTCTGAATTTGACTCGAATCATTAATTCGACATCTACCCTTCCCTACCCTACCCCCAGATATTCCTATTCTCTACTAAAAAATAGCTCTAAATGGCTATAACCCATAATTATTATTCCTTAACCATATTTTCTGGCTACCGTATCCATGAATGGTAATACATACCTTTAATTCGAATCTTGTAAGTGAGTGAAATTTTGCTTAAACTCTTTTTTATTAATTTTTACAAATTACTTCATACGGTGTCATCTAGTTTTTTTTTGTTAATTCCGATTTAATTTAGAGGATAATGTTATTAAAATCCTTATTAAATTTAGGGCTTGCGATAAATTTAGAAAGCGTTCATGTTAAACCCTAAGATTTGTTAAATTTTACTTGCCAAATTTTGCTGCGATTTGCGATTTTTTCAATTTTACATAATTAATTTTTATGCTTTTAGAATGGTAATGACGGTCGATAAAAGGCCCTCCACTTCTCACGAATCAAAGGCCAATTTCTGGGGATCGTTGAGGAGTCGATCCAGTTTTGGCACAAAATTGCCGTTTTTGCATAGCAGTCAGTTTTGGAACAAAATTTATTGTATTTTTAGTATTATATAATTTATTTATAATTTTAGAACGGACCAGCCTCGCGTCGGAAAATGAAAACGAGCGTAAACAGATGATTTTCGGGACGATTCGAGGGATGAAGCGCTACAAGAGACACTCAGAGCTAGCTGGTAAGGATTTTGGGCAAGCTAGCAGAGCTTCTTTGACCTTGTGATCTCTGAAAACTTCAAAATCGTTAAACTGGCATGCAGACAGCTCAAAAATACTTCAAAACTTCAGCAGAAAAGCAGGCTAGCAGAGATCATTGGATTTTGTCTTCCTAATCCCTTTAAACTCCATTTTGACTGACAGCGAGGCCAAAAAGGCAAGCTAGCATAGATTCTTTGTGCCTATAACTCCAAAAAAAACCGGAATTGACATGCAAATAATCCAAAAACCGCTTAAAAACACCGAAACAAGGGTAGATAGCAGAGTTCCTTGCGAAATTTTCTATTTTTTTATATGCTTTTCTACCTCAAAAAGGCTAAAAAAAAATTTCCGTTGATTTTATCGATTTTAAGTCTATTCCTTTTAGACTCCTACTTCGGCGGTGACCAACAGGTCCTGATTTCGGCTCACCCGATCCATTCTTCCGTCAATCTGATGGCCGTCCGGCCGCAAATCGCCAAAAGAGGCCAATTGAGCAGTGATCTTTTTAATGGACCACTCGAGGATACGGTATATGGCGCTTATCAGGTTGGGAATTTGATTTAATGTTTGAAAAAGGGAGCAAAAATGAAAATTTGGGTGAAAACGGTGTCACACTCCCCTTAAAATCTGGAAAATTCTGATTTCGAAATGCCGTGGAATTTTTTTGCGTTCCAAACGCGGCAATGAACGGGCAAACAATTTGGAAGGGCCTAAAATAGCTTCATGTTGCGAGAGAGAAAGAGAGAGGGAGAGAGAGAGAGAGAGAGAGAGAGAGGGAGAGAGAGAGCGAGAGAGGCAGACAGACTGAAGAATGGCTTGCCTACTAGTCATTTTTCACGGTCTAATTTCGTATCTGTAGCTCCCTCTCCCCTCTCTCTCTCTCTCTCTCTCTCTCTCTCTCTCTCCCTCTCTCTCTCCTCTTATTTGCACAGTGGCTGTCAGTCAGTAAATGGCATCAGAATGCCTATTCATTCCGCGGCGCTACCCCCTCCACGCGCAACCACACACTGGCTAGGAGGGGGGGGGGGGCTTTCTTTACTTTGCTTTCCCTTCTTTGCTCTACCCAAATTAGCTTTTACAAGGTCTCGTGGTTCGCTATTTCGGCGACTACTTTTTGCATTTCCGGATTTTTAGCTGCTTTTCGAGTACTGAATTTTTTGGGAAATTTTCATTTGTCAGTCTGTCTGTCTGTCTTTCAGTCAGTTCAATTATTTGACTGCCTGTCGGTCATTTTGTGGGTCTGTCTATTCAACTGCCTGTCAGTTTGTCTATTCGTCCGCCAGCCAACCTATTCTTCCGTATCCCTAAACAAGCGGTTTTTCGGCCCCCTGGCTTCGTACGCGCCAAATGACGTACGGGCATTTCAACCTAATTTTAAGCATTTAAAAAATCTGTCTGTCTGTCAGTTTGTCTATCTGTCTGAAAACAAATCTATTTTTCGGTTTCTTTGTCCTCAAAAAATTAGATTTTTCTGAAAGACCTACGCAACCTTCCAAATGACGTACACTTCCCTCAATTGTATATTTTATACAGTCATATTTGAAAAACACGATCATATATCACGTCTTCTTGTCCTTCGTCACAATCCCCGTTCCCCCTTTGAATGTGAATGGTATGTAAATAGGTGTATCTCGTTGTCTCTCATTCTCACGCCCCTTCTTTTTATTGCATTCTGCCGAGGGTCGGCCGGCTTTCGGCTTCCCTTTTTCTTTCCTGGAAAAGTTATGAACCGGCTTCTCACGCTAAATATCGGATTTTATCATTTTCTACCAGATCGGAATTATTGATCCAATTTAGGCAAACAGGCGAATTTTTTAAAGTGCAAAACCCTTGCAAAATATTTATTTAAGATCTTATTTAGTTAATTAAAAATAACACCCTCAAAAAAGCTTTAATTTTATGTTTTTTTAATTTACGTGTTTATTTTATCACGTTGAATTTGAAAATCAACAATTTAACCGAAATTGACTTTTTCTGGTGATTTTTAGTAAATTCCCCGTTTTTGCAAAAATACCCAGCGCCAGACGGTCAAATTAGTCTCGCTGGCCGTATTTTGTGTATTTGTATGTTTGCGTACTCGTAAGGGATCGATGATTGAGTGTCGCTACAGACAGCAGGGGTAGATGAATGGTCAAGAACGTTTCGTTTTCCAGCTTTTGCAGAGCTCTCTCCACCCCCCCCCCCCGCCCCATAGACAAACAGGTCGACAGCTAGCTTGTTAACTGATACTTTACAAGTCAAGTAAATAGTCTCTACTTTAACCCAATCCTTGGTCTTTTAAAGGACTCGTGAAGTGGGAAAATCGCCTTCCGTTGCTTCCTAGGCCCTTTAACACCGAATGCTTTTTTTCCGGAAGCTCGTCCCCGTCGGCCCGTTTTTGATTCAAATGCCCGGATGGTCACTGAATACGTTCAGGGGAGCGTTACGTAGTCGGAATCGTGTATCCTGGTGGACAGTTTAACCAGATATAACAGCAAACTGCTATAAAGGATTGGCAAGTGGGGAAAAGCCCCGGAAACGGCAGAGTGCCATGGCGTGAATCAGCCCATCCATTCCCTCATCCTCGGCCTCGAGCGATGGTGATTCGGGACGCGTGTAGCTCAGCGGAAGAGCACCTGTACGGAAAACAGGAGGTCACGGGTTCGACTCCCGCCGTGCGCAACCCCCTTTTACCATTGCTCGAAAGTTTATTCTGCCAACCTTTGCGTGTGAGTAAAAATAGAGTGAAAATGGAAATAGTATGAGTAAAAATGCAGGCTTTTTCTAATTTTTAGCAGACCTCTTTTTAATTTATTTTGCATCGAAATTATTCATTGGCGTACAGTTTAGCGTAATATAAAAAGAATATAAGGTTATGTCAGCGTTTTAAATTTCTGGATTTTATTTAAGGCCGAAACTCAAATTTCTGACTTTCTTATGCATTTCTAAGAATTTGTCAGTTTTTCTGAAATATATAGTTTCGGTTTTTTAGTCTTCTTTACCCCTTTAGAGTGAGCCATAGTTTACTTAAACCCACCTTTTCCTCGTTTCCGACCTCTTTTTCTCTGTGGGGAACAAGGGCACTTGACTGTATGGCCACCAGAATGTTTGAGGCGAATGAATACTTTTCTTTTCATTTTCCCATACCCATTCTCTCTCTTTCTCTCTCTCTCTCTCTTCCAATTTGTTTGCCCCTCTCATCGCCCCATTTCACACACCACACACTGTCCCCCGGATTTCTACCAGCCTGGACACGCGCTACTTTTTTGAATTTTGCGGACTCGTGACTCGATTTCTAGCTGTCCCTGTTCCTTTATAGTTGAATTTTGCAGGAATCGGGCAAAATGCGAGATAAAAAAAAATTAAAATTAAAAATTTTCGACATTTAAGGTTTTTAGAGATTTCTGAGCCCAAGCACACTCAATTTTTCCGAATTTACGAAGTTCTGCGCCGATTTCTAACTGTCGATATCCCTTGAAAATTTAATTGTTGTGAGAATTTGGCAAACTGCCATGCATGCAGAGCATTTGAACACGTTTTAGACAAATTTCCTGATTTTCAAGGATTTCTAAGCAACGACGCTCTACTTTTTGAATTTCGGAGCTCTGGGCCGATTTCTAGCTGTCACTGTCCCTTGAAAATTGCATTTTTGCTAAAATTTGGCAAACTACCATGCAACTGACGTTTTCAAAAGATTTTTAGACAAAGCCAACGAATTTTGTGGAATTGAGTTCGGTGAGCTTTTCCTTGCAGGCACCATCCCTTTAAAATCAATTTTTTTTTTTTCTGGCATTTACAAACTGCTATCCAGTAAACAATTCGCAATAATGAAACGCCTATTAAGGAAATGCAGTCAATTAAGGATCTCGGAGTGACCTACGACAATAAGCTGAAATTTAAACAACATGTTTCGAATATACGACTCAGCGCATCACGAATCTCGTACCTTTTAATCAAACGTATCCAGGTCCCAAACATAGCAACATATAGGCGTGTTTTCTGCACTTTAGTTAGGCCAATTTTGGAATATGCCAGTGAGGTCTGGTCCCCGGTTCAGAAGTGCCAAATCAACGCGTTAGAAAGCGTTCAGCGCAAGTTTACTCGTTTCGCTTTACTGAAACTCTTCCCAAACTCAACACCCCCTCCTTATGCAGACCGACTCAAAATTTTCTCACTCCCCACCCTAGAACAACGTAGGATAGAAGCCGACCTGGCAACTTGCTATAAGTCTCTATTTCTGCCAAATTTTCCCTGCAAGCTGTTCCAACTATCAGATCGTCCTCCCCGAAATGCACATCCTTTTCAAATCAGACGGACCCAAAGCGTCCAAGGTTTCTCCCGCGCTTTTTTCTCACGTAGGGTCATAAAGCTTTGGAATCGGCTCCCCCGGTCAGCTTTTCGTGCGGGTACCGCAAAAATCTTTCGGCGAAACTTGTAAAATATGGATCTGCAGAGCACCCCGTTCAGCGCCATATGACCCGGCCCCATATTCCCCCCTTCTTTCATTTTTATCCTGCTCTGAATTTTTGATTTCAAACCGCTTATTCAATAACATGAATAAAGTATACAATATATAATCTCCAAGCCATTTCGACCATCGGAACTTCCAGAATATTCCATTCCACACCCCCCGGCCGCAATTACGGTATTAGTGGGAACGCGTATCGTTTCGTACCCATCCCTCTCTTCCTTTCTTTTCTCTCATACCCTTGAGCACAGCCTCTAAAAAACAGGCCCTCCCCCCTCCTCAATTCGAATCCATCCATTTCGACCATCGATCCCTCTTCCTCCTCAAAGATTCGACCTCCAAAAAGCCGCCGCCTCACTTTCATGCTCTTTTTGTGTTTCTGGGCAGCAGCTTGGCCCGCTTGGCTTTGTTTTGAGCTTGGCTTTTAAGCTGGCAGCCAGCTTGCTTATAGCTAAATTTCTGGACATTTTCTATTTGCTATTCCGACCGCATTAATTGATACTTTTAAATCTCGAGCTCGAGGTCACTCACTTTCATGCTCTTTTCGAATCGTGTTTCTGCGCAGCAGCTTGGCGGGCTTGGCTTTCTTTTATCTTAGCTTATAAGCTGACCGCCAGATTGCTTATATTTAAATTTATGGAATTTTCTATTTTTATATCGACGCATTAATAGGTATTTCTGGACCTCGAGCTCGAACTTAAGCTTGAGCAAGCCTTTAAAGCTTGAGCTTCGGCGGCTAGACTTCAGTTTTTCAGTATCACTAAACTGCCATCCAAACTACAACCTCGATAGCTTAAATCAATAATTTTAAATTTATTCGTCAATTTAGTTGCTAAAACCACTCGTGAAAATCTTATTTTTCAAAAATTTGCATTTTTTTTTTGCTTTTTCCGTGTTTTCATCGTACTACGCTATTTGGATACGCTCCAGATGTCGACCACATCCCCACCAACCGTATCCACAATATCTACCGTACCCCTCGGCGGCTACCGTAACCCTCCAATACAGCGGGGATGGGCACAGCTCAGGGATTCGAGAAGAACAGCTGCCCATCGATTGAACAACCCAAATTCAAAAATGACAAATGCTGAGGCGGAAC